TATGCTTGGTATTAACTTTGGAAGTTCTCATTATTTCATTGTTTTTGAAATTTTAAGATGGGAGTTATATGTAAACATTTCAAGAATTATATCAAGAAATCAAATTATACTTTCCCATTATTTGAATATGCTGAACGAAGAATAATCTTAAGAAAAAACACAGATCTTAGCTTCTTTTTGTAACTGCTTATCTGCTAGAGGACGGAGCTTGCTCTGTTGATTTCCTTATACATGTTACCATCTAGACTCAGCCACGTGAGATTATTTTAAGAATTTTAAATGATGTTTTAAGAATAGTTTTATCTTTTTATTAGAACTTATATTCTTACCATCCAGACTTGGTGTTGTAAGATTATTTTAAGGATTGTAGATGAGGTATTTGAAAAATAGTTTTTTTATTAGAAAGCAACCATTTTCTAATGAAGTTACTAGATTTTAAAAATTACTGAAATCTCATACATTGCCGATGAGAATGTAAAATAGTACAGCCAACTCTGGAAAACAGTTTGGCAGTTTCTTAAGAAGTTAAATGTACACCTACCATGTGACGCAGCAGCTGAACTCTCAGGTGTTTATTCTAGAGATATGAACACTCACGTTCACACAAAAACCTGTACGTGATTGTCCATATCAGGTTTATTTGTAATTGCCAAAAACTGGAAACAACCCAAATGGTCAACAGTTAAATGGCTAAACTGTGATACATTCATTCTCTGGACCACTGATAGCAAAGAAAGGGAACAAACTTGATACGCCCAGCAACTGGGATGGTCCTTAAGGGCATTGTGCTGAGTGAAAAAGTAAATCTCAAAAGGTCACATACGGTGACCCACTTATATTACATCCTCACAATGACAAAACTATTTTTGTGACTGAGATCAGCGGTTGCCAGGGCTTAGGATTGGTGGGGAGGGTGTGGCTGTAAAGGGGTGGCATCAGGGAGATCTTTGTGCTAATGGAACAGTTCTGTATAATAACTGTGGTGATGGTGACTGTTATACAAATCTGTACGTGTGATAAGATTTCATAGAAACAAAGCACACACCCTGCAGATTAGAGACATAAAAACTGGTAAATCCAAATAAGGTCTATAGTTTAATAGTGTTGTACCAATGTTGGTTTCCTGGTTTTGATGATGTACTATGGCCATATAAGTTACCATTGGAGGAAGCATACATGGGAACTCTTTGTACAGTTTTTATAACTTCTTGTGACTCTTAAACTATTTCAAAATTAAAAGCTTAAAAACAAAACAAAGAACTTGAGGAAAGATGATAGAAATAGCAGCTGTGGCGACAGGTCCCCGTGATCAGGTACTGAGGCTGACCATCTTGCAGAGGGACTGGTGAGGGGTCAGCATTGGCTCTGGAGCTTCATGGCTACTGGTTGTGAATGAGGCTCAAACAGCTGACTGGCTCCAGGAAAACAAGCTGAGTGGACTTCCAGTTAAGCGTGGCCTATTGACCTCAAGTCTTTTTCTGCTCTTCCTTTTGAGAATACATTAAAATGATGGCAAAGGAACTTAAAGAAAACGCCTGTAAATCCATAGTGTAGAGACCTGAAAAAGGAAATATCAGTTGACAAAAGGCCTAAAGAAATTTGGGTTGTTAGAAATGGACGGAGGTGTGGTAAACTGCCTTAAGAGAACTGAAAGAAACTGCAGAGAGGAGTACCAGTGATAGCTGAGCCCTTCACCCCAGAGAACCCCAAAGGCTGGGGAACAGGCCCCACAGAAGGTAGAGATGGAGGGGACACGCAGGGCTAGAATAGGAGTTACACAGGTGGTTAAACTGCCAGGTCCCCTTTCCTGCCCTAGCCACCACTATTACAGCTGCTCCCTCGGCGTGGCAGCCTGGAGATTCAGTCTCAGGATGTGTTGAATCAGAGGCACTCTTGACTTGGAAACACCAGCTGAGGTACTGGAATTCAGGAAAAATCAGCACAGGAAACCTGTGGGATTCCCAACCCCCTTCCAGACCTGGGAAAGCTGACCACCTGGTGATTGCCCCTTCCCCCGCCCAGTGATAGGAAATTAGAAACTTCTCTGGAGAGACCCAGTGGCCCCTGGTTACCGTCACTTGGCCAGTTTCTTTGCAGCTGACTTGCTGTCCAGTCACTCTGAATGAAGCCTACTGGTCAGTAGCCACCCTGTATGCATGCGCACACACTTCCAGCCAACATTTTAGGGCTTTACTCCTAAATACAAACTGACAGTCAAGGATCACCAGACATTTGGGGAAAGCCTCCAACACAAAAGACAGTTGAATACCAAACAATGAGAAGAAATAACCAGACAGTATGGGGAACTGGCAGAAAATATCCCCCAAATTACAGTTTATTCAGATAAGAGATGATACTGCATCCATAAAACAACAGGATGCTTTTAAAAAGGAATAACCAAAAAAACCTGAAAGAGCCCAAATTAAAAATATGATATCAAAAGTTTGAAAAGCATCAGAGGAGTTAGAATGTACAGTTGCGGATATCTGTCAGAGATAGAACAAAAAGTGGAAAATCAGAGAAAAAGGGTAAGATCATTAGAGAATAAATCCAGGTCATATAAAATCCTCCTCAGAGTTCCAGAGAATGAAGAGGCAAGAATCAAAACAGGAACACTTTTCAGACCTGAAGGACGTAATCTTCTCTATGGGTAGGGTCTGTTGAGTGCCCAGTAAAATAAATGAAAAAAGTACCCACACTGAGACAGACCATTGGGTAGTTTCAGAGCACAGGGATAAAGAGGAGGGTTCCAGAAATAAACAAGCCCCCTCCCACCACCTGCCCCCCACCAAAAAAAAAAAGTCATATACAGATGACAGCCGACTTCTCAATAGCAAAACTGGATATTGAAGACTGGAGCAATATCTTTAAAATCCTAAGGGAAAATCACTTTCGACCTGTAATACACAGCCCAGCGAAATACCAGTTAAATGTCAAAGTAAAGATAATTTCAGACATGTGGGGACTCAAATTTACCTCCTGCGTCATTTCTTAGGTCACTCTTGGAGAATGACCTCCAGCAGATAGCAATAAATGAAGAAGGAGGGGGCTTCCCTGGTGGCGCAGTGGTTGAGAGTCCACCTGCCGATTCAGGGGACACGGGTTCGTGCCCCGGTCCGGGAGGATCCCACGTGCCACGGAGCGGCTGGGCCCGTGAGCCATGGCTGCTGAGCCTGCGCGTCCGGAGCCTGTGCTCCGCAACGGGAGAGGCCACAACAGTGAGAGGCCCGCGTACCGCAAAAAAATAAAAAATAAAAAAAATAAATGAAGAAGGAGGAAGATGTGGAATCCAGCTAATGAGACTGTCACACAGGGGACCAGAAAGGGACATGCAAGGGCAACAGTGTGGCAGGAACGGTCAGGCCAGACTGAGTAAGAGGACGGAGAGTCCTTGGAGGAAGTTCTGGGGGAAAAAATGGAATGGAAGATTAGCTGACAGCTTTGTACATTTGAAAAACAGTGATAGGCTCCTATGAGATCCGATGGAGCGTGTGGAAACATTTAAGGTAGATACATAGAAAAATCTAAGGCGGGGGTGGGAATGAGACAATTATTAATCCCAGGAGAAACAAAAAGAGTATATCAAGAAAGGAAGCCTAATTCTTCTACATTCCTTGCATTGTAGTGACCAGTATTTACAAAGTCATAATAAACCTTGACTGTTGATTTACCAGGAAACTGTTATTTAATTATATAGGAGAGACTGGGAAAGGGAAAGTAGGGTTGTCTACCGTAGCAGAAATCCAGTACTTATTGTCCAAAATTGAGAAGCCAAGAATATTCATCAAAACTATGGCAGCAAATACAAAAGAGCACTTGCAAGCAAGCTGTTATGTGGGTGTAAGGCCAGGGGTGGGGAAGGGTTGGGGCAGGGGTTCTTTTTCACGATAAGCCGTTATACTGTCTAATAAAGTTATTATAGTCTTTTTCTACTAACTCGTAATGGAGGACCTTTTTATCCCAAAGAGTCATGTGTCAAGTATCTGCTGCTTTGGATGTTGTATGGTTTTTTATTCTTTTTGTTGCTTGGTCCTCTACAAACAAGGTACACATTTTGGGAGGTGGGTAAAGGGATTTGGCTGGTCTATCTGGAATGATTCATATTGTGAACCTTATGGTTTGTAGGTGTGACAGGTATACTGTCACCGTGTGTTCTGGGTCACGAAGCCAGAGACCCATAGGAATGATTTCTTGTCTGTACTTCAGATTTAGGGTAGCATTTTAAATTTAGGCCAATGTTCTAAATAGTTGCCTGTTTTATACTTGTCATAGCACTTCTCTCTATGTTTATGACCTTCTGGTGATATAGAAATGACACTTTTAAAAATGAAAACCGTGACATCTGCAGAGATAGAGCATCATGAAGTCCATAATGGGAAACCACGTCTCCCCCTCCACTGCTGTGAGCACAGGACCTACCGCACACTCCATGAATAATGAGTGAACTGATGGCTGGGAAAAAATGCCAGTGACCACCTAGAAAGAAAGTTCTAGGCTGGCCTATGTCTTAGGGCCGTCAGCAACACCCACCCCCATCCCTTCCCCAGTAATTAGGCAGAGCAAAAACAACATCTCTTGGAAATTCCTGTTCTACTGATAGCCAAAACACTGCCCATATAATTAAGTTCCTATCATGCGCCCCTGTTTCTTAGCACTATCATGACAGCCATTAACTTACCTAAACCCAAAAGGGAGCATCAGCTTCTGGACTCATGGCCCCCACAGGGTGTACTTTGTAGAGATGGAATGTCTGCTATCTGCTTCATTTACAGTAAATTCTAGGCAGCTCCTGGGCAGGCAGGGAACTGCCAGGGTCACATGCACCTCACTACTCCATCAGTTAGGATGGAAGTGCTCTTCACTACTTTCAAATCATGACTTTGTGGACGGTACCATCAGGCACACGTGGGGATCCTAGGTTATGCAGTGACACCATCTAAAGATTGCTTGGTCTGCTGTTTGCTTATTTTATTAATTTGTTTTTTTTGTTTGTTTGTCAGAATGTTATGGAACAGTTCAATCCTGGGCTACGAAATTTAATAAACCTAGGAAAAAATTACGAAAAAGCTGTTAATGGTAAGTCTGTTTTCTAAATTTATAAATATAGAATGCATATGAAAGCCATTCATTAAATATTTTACTTAATTTTTAAATGCTTGCTACTGAATTTTTAAAATATCTTTAAATTGGTAGAAACCATTTATAATTAATCTGTAGAACTTTGCAATGATAGGATATTAGTATACTTGAAATGAGTAAGTTGAATAATAGGCTACCAAAAGTGACATATCTTAAATATCAGATTTTGCTTTTTGACACTGCTTAATCTTTTATATCATTGACATAAACATGTTTTCTACTTTTTACACCAAATTCTTTGTAAACTAATAACATATATAAAAAGTGTACTTAAAATTTTAAGATCCCGAAGCATAGGAATTATTCTCCTTTTTATTTATGTAGAAGAATTTCTTGTCTTTGGGTGTATCACTTTTGATAGTAATATGAGAAATAAAATGTTTAGCCTGAATGGAAAGACATCTAAATTAAAGGTTGAACTTAGATTCTCATTTCAAAATGAGTGCTTAATTTAAAATGAACTCAGGCATTGGCTTTTGTCTCTCTGTGAACCAGAGTTGTTTGCTGGTTTGAACAGATTTCATCTGAGGAAGCCAATGTGCATCTACACATGTATTCCCCTCCCAAAAGGGGAACGTTATCAGTGATCACCTTGATGTGGACCATTTTTTTAAAGTCTTTATTGAATTTGTTACTGTATTGCATCTGTTTTATGTTTTGGTTTTCTGGCCCCGAGGCATGTGGGATCTTAGCTCCCCAACCAGGGATCAAACCCACACCCCCTGCATTGGAAGGTGAAGTCTTAACCACTGGACCATCAAGGAAGTCCCTTATCAGTGATCACCTTGAAAACTCAAGATGCTAACAATCACCAAATTCTAACATGGTCAGAACAATTCTCCATATGTAGCAAGTGTCACCCCCAAAATATTCAGACCCCAGTTTTACCATCTACCCTGGTTCACTAAGACCAGCACGTAACATAAGTAGAAAATTTAGTTTCCAGCGGTTTGAGATTTGAAGAAAGCTTCAGACCAAGCTTTGTGTCTTTTTTTCCCCTCTTCTTTCTCTCTTTCACAATACCCCACCTTTGGCTGCTCCCCGATGATGTTTTGAAAATAAACCTGCGCCCTCACACCCTCAGTGTGAGCCTGCTCCAGGAAAGGGGAGGTGCTGGCGAGACTCGGGACTTTGGAGTACGGACGAACTATCGTTTCAGTCACTGCAAAAGTAAACTGCTTGTTGACTTCCTTCTGGATCTCTGTGCTCTTGGCCAGACGTGTTCAGTGTCAGGAAATGCAGCAGGCCTGAGATTTCCCTCCCTCTCCCTCTAGCCGTACCAGTGACTTCTATGGGTGCCCCCTCCCTCCTTCAAAGAACTGGAGCCTTGTTTTGGAAGCTGACTCTCTCCTGATGATTACCTAGTCACAAGACCACAAAGTCATCGCTTTATCCATCCCCGGGAAGGAAATCACTCTGACCTGCAGTGATTTTTTTCTTTCTAGCACGAGCTGCCTCTCTGAGGCAGAGTTTTACAAGGTGACGCAGTGAAGAGCCCACAGCTTAGCCTCCTGCTAACAGGGCTTCTCCCCAGCAGCCTCTACCAGTTTAACACCTCCTGGGGCCTATTCTGCCTTTCATAATGTGTTCCAGGATTTCTGCAGGCCATCTGTTTTTGGCTGAAGCCATTGAGAAACTTCAATAAAATGTGTAAAGTCGTTGGTAAGAATCTGTAGTGTAGTCGAGGATGCCAGATGTGCAGTCAACAGTTAGATTATAGCCAGCGCAGCAGCACAGCTGATGAAGAGCATAGGCCGAGCAGCGGCCCAGGAGTTTGAGAGGAGGCCGGTGGAGTGTGGAGCAGGCAGAGGCCGTGTAGGAGCTGAGGCAGCTGACAGACGTTAGGTTTCAGTAGGCAGACGCTGCTTATTAGTGCTTCAGGCAGAAAAGACAGCATCCAAGCCGAGACCAGGGCTCCACGCTAGCATGGGTGAGAAGCTGTGAGGGAACAGTAAAACATAAGGTGGAATAAGGTCCTGCTATGAATGCATTTGGATGCAGCATCTGTTACCTATTGCCGCATAACAAACTGCCTCTAAGCTTGGTGGCTTAAGACAACAATAGTTCATTATTTTCAGTCGTCCTGTAAAGGCAGTGCAGTTGTCTGTACCCCTGGGACTCTGCAGTTGCAGTGGACTGGGGCTGAGCTCACTTCCTCTCTCAGGCATAGCTGGCTGTCCCAAGAGTACAAGCCCCGTGGGAGTTATGCCTGCTCGTACCCCATTGGCCAAAGCAAGTCACATGACCAAACAGCCGATCAGCATCCTAGACAATTATACCACCTGGGAATTCCGGGAGGTGTGATTCATTGAAGGCCATGACTGTAAAAATCTACGATGAACTCTGTGGAGTGTGACAGGCTTACCCTGTGGCCAGTGGGAGGCCATTGAAGGCTTTTGAGCAGAACTGTAACCTATTGAAATCATATTGATATTTTAAGGAAAGTTTTTCTGGTAGAAATGTGTAGTTTAGATTGATGAAGTAGTTGATCAACCACTAAAAATTAATAAGCTTCATTCCTTAAAACAGTAAGTGGTAGAAAATCTCTAATATATCCACAAAAGGGGACAGAATTATGAAAATATTAGTTTATTTTTTCTGGATAAATTATAATTTTTAAGTTAATGCAGCTTTATCAAAAAGCAGGATATTTTACTAGACTAAGAAGGTTAATAAGTCAACAGCTAATGGAAAAATTTCAATGTGTGGATGCAAACCAAAAATTTTATTTAAGTGTTGTGTAATCCTGTATTACCATTCTCCCCCATTAATTTGCTTTTCAGCTTATCAGCACCTTGCAATTTTAAATCTTCCCACTAAAATATTACATATATTAACTTGACAGTTTACTGGCTATAAACCTTGTTTTTCGGTGGAGTCATCTCTTTTTCAGTGCTAGCTGAGACCAAAGAGTCAAAAAGCACCGTGATTTAGGACTGCCGGGGTTGTGTGCACTGCCTCTGCTTCGCCATTGACCTTGGGCATGTCCCGGAATATCTCTTCTGTGCTCCACTTCATGAAACGGGGTGATAACATCACCACCCTATGTCTTAATGTAGTGTGGTAGATTAATTAATTTAAGTAATGATTTGGAAAGTTTACATAAATGCTATTTGTTACTGCTCTTTTTTATAATTACGCTTTACAGTTATCCTTAGTCTTATGAAGCAATAGTATAGTAGAGCATTAGATTTCATGAACTTGTATATATATGTAGTAAAAGCTGTAACTTTCATAATTTTTTTAATTCTACAAGACATGCAAAAATAGATTAATTTGCCTTGAAAATACTACTTTTTTTGGCCTGCAGTATCTTCAGCGGGACTTGGGCATTAATTCATTCTGTGACCTCCTCCCCCACCTTTTTAAAACTTGAAATACCTTTTAAAATTCATCTTTTAAAAACAATACCCATGGGCTTCCCTGGTGGCGCAGTGGTTGGGAGTCCGCCTGCCGATGCAGGGGACGCAGG